AAGAGCATTAAATATCACTTTGCACATATTCAAATTAAGATTTATCAGAATGAGAGAGTGAAATAGATTTGAGCATTGAAAATCCAATGAGCATGTTTTAATCCTTAAACGGTCCAAATGTATATATACGTTCTTATGCGTAGCACCCCAAACGTATATGTACGTTTTATTTTTCCTGCCTTCAAATTTGGCACGATTGGCCTGAGATGCCTTGTCAGCATAGAATGGGTCCTAACACTCAGTGTGTACGGTATTAAAAAAAATCTGGGACCACTTAGTACCTTGTGGGAGCGCCAGTTAAATTGAGCGCCAGCTAGAGCAAACAGTGCGGCAAACACCAAGGATTCACTGATGTAATGTCATATTAACACTCCTCTTTTAACCCTTAAACGGTCCAAACGTATATATATGTTCATGCACGTAGCGCCCCAAACGTATATATACGTTTTCTTTGTCATTCATTCAACATTGCCACAATAAGCCTGAGTCACCTAGACATGAGAGAATGGGTGTGCGCACTCACTGTGTGCCATATTAAAATAATTGGGGATGCCTGGGCACAATATGCTCTTTTTTCCTTTTAAAAGAAAAGATTTGTTTTTTCCTCAAAAAATTTGGGGCGCTACGCGAGTGAACGTGTATATACGTTTGGACCGTTTAAGGGTTAAGAGGAAAGTGATGTTAACCCCAAGTTTAGGATCTGTCTATCTCTGTATCTCTGTCTACCTCTGTCTCTGTCTACCTCTGTCTTTGTCTATCTGTCTGTCTATCTGTCTGTCTATCTCTGTCTCACAGGTAGACATAAATACAAGTATACATAGCGTAAATTCCCTAGGATAACCCAAAAAATCCAGACAAAGTGCTATACTCTGCTTGAAGATGAGTAAACGTGATGACAATGCAGTCTTGTGGCTCTCTCTGAGACAGAGCTAGATGGATAGACAGATAGACAGATAGACAGGGAGCTTGACAGACAGACAGACATGTTTGTGTACCAACGAAAACAAAGTGAGGGCGATGCTCATCAAATAACACCTCTAATCTTTACTTATCAGCTGCACCCTCCCGCACCCTCATGTATGCTCATCAAACGTCAGCTCTTATCAGTTGTTATCTCATCATGTCACTGTCAGGGGTGGACTTTGTTTTTCATGCTTCAAGGGAACTTATTATTACCTATTATTATTATTACGTATTATTATTCTCCTCCTCCTCCTCTTCCTCCTCTTCGTCTTTCTCCTCCTCCTCCTCCTTCTTCCTCCTCCTCCTCCTCCTCCTCCTCATTGTTATTATATCTTTCCACATATCCAAAACATTGCTGGGACATATACTGTAAATACTTTGTAGATATTCCAAGACAATCGTAAATGGCTAAGGCAGGTGTAAATGTCCACCTGTCAGTGTGTTTGTTATAATTTGAGTACAATTTCAGTACCTAATACTAGTGTCAGAACAAAGATTGGTTATAAAATGACAAGAACTACTACAAATTGTAATTATCAGAACATAAAAATTACACAAAATAATATAAAAAAATAGGAGAAAGGTATATCAGCAACACTTCTGCAAGCGGCAGGACTCGATGTTGCTGTCACATGAGCATCCAGTGCCAACTTCTCGACCTCATATCTCTGTAAGTACCGACCCTAAAATTTTTTTTTTATTCTAAAATACTTTAAAAAATGTGCTCTCTCTTTTTCTATATATAAAAAAAAAGAATTTTTTTTTTTCAAAATATTCGGGGCGCTGCATGAGTGAACGTATATATATGTTTGGACCTTCTAACCCTTTCAGGGTCCGTCCCGTAGATCTACGGCTTTATGTTAGGGTCCAAACCGTAGATCTACGTCATGAGCTCAGCTCACTCTGATAAACTGTGAGTGGTACATTTGGGCCTAGATATGAGAGAATACATCTATGTGGTATGTGTGCACCACATAAAACAGATCCTGCAGCACATTGTGAATAATGAGAAAAAAAACTGAAATCATGATTTTTCGATTAAAACAGCGACTTTGCAGTGTTTTTTCGTATGTTTTTTATAGTTGTATTCGCGATTTCTTGGTCTCATTTGATAGAATGGAAGACATATTACAGAAATAGTGATGATTTTGATTGGTTTTAGCATTGGAAATGGCTTGAAACTGAGCTCAAAGTAGCAGAAGTGTTAAATTTTTGCCGATATTCAAGAGTAAACAAACGACCTCACACGTCTAATACACGCCAGCTGGTGGGTCTGATATGCATTCACAAATATGGTGATGATATTTATACAATTATTACAGTATTGCATAACAGTAAATCTTCTATTTTTTGGTGTGAATAAAAATTCATTGTGTGAATAAAAAATCAAAATGGAATTTATTTGTAAAGCCTCAAAACATAACTAATGAACAGAGGAAATGTTAGTTTAGTTCCAGGAATACCTACATTGTTTATTCTGGACCCTATTTTGAAATTGGAATATTTTGAACTTTGTGTTAAATTGGCCAAATTAACAATTTCCGATCACTTTAATTTGTAGTTGAAACAGCTGACTTGGCGATTTCTTGTGCTCACTCGATAGAATAGAAGTAATACTAGTGAAATAGCTAAGAATTTGGTTGACTGGAATAATGTAATTGGCCTAAAATGGGAGTCAAAGTCAGCAAAATCGCCGATTCGTAAATATCACTGACACATCAAAATTCGCGAGTGCATAATTTCGTCAATTTTCCATCAAATTTCGTACTTTTTGTTTTATTACCTTCACAAAAAGATTCTCTACCATTTCATAAGAAAAAATAGCAAATTTTTTTTTTTTTAAATTCTTGGACACTGGGGCACCTCTTCAGATTTGGGCCTTGGACCCTGAAGGGGTTAAGGGTTAAAGGAAATCACATAGCTAGTTTTCAATTTAAGAGTTTTACATCGAGAAAGATGTGGGCACATCATCAGACAAAGTTAACTGGTACAGATGCATAGTAGGACAAGGGGTGGAGGGAGGAAACAGAAGTTAATATAATAATATAATAATAATATCTTTATTTACTACAAGTACATGTACAAGTTAGGAAATATGCATTCATGTTTAAAATGTGCATGCTTTAACCCAGACATAGACAAGCTGGTTACCAGCTGCTGGAGGGATAGGATAGATTATAATTGAATACAGTATTTGATTTTTTTTATCAGTTTTTGGTTAGATTCATTTCTTTTGGAATGTAGTCATTTAGTGCCTGTGTCATATTCTCATAATTTGTTGGTAAAAATAGGGTAAAAAATATGGATTTTTTCTCTGATTCTTTTAATGTCAAACATCTAATGTACTGGGAATACTTCAAGTCTTTTGAATTGTATTCCTTGGAACATAGGTGAGAAAGGTAAATCACAATTTGCACATGGAAAATTGTGGAGGAAATGGTCCCAATCTTGCACACTGAAATCACTTAGCAGAAGAGAAAGAGACCACTGGAATTGTGGTAAGGTCATGTGGTAATTGTACTGTATGATTGTTTCATGCTTGTATGGTAAGCTCATAGTTTTTCGACAGACATTTATCCAAAATATTTTGCAATGTGCGAAGTCGGGAACTCGTTCCGTTGTCTTGTGTTAAAACGGTTTTACTTAATGCAGTTCCATTTTATACTCCAAGGACTGGATGTGCATCTGTTGCATAAGTGAGGGATATCTGTACATATATCCAGAATTTACATTTTCTATACTACTGTAGTTGCTTTTTACACTGGGTGTTTCTACGTGTGGGTTTTTGCACCAGGTGTTTCTACATGTGGGTTTTTGTGCCAGTGTTTCTACTTGTGGGTTTTTACACTGGGTGCTTCTACATTTGGGCTTTTACACTGGATGCTTCTAGATGTAGGTTTTTATACTGGGTGTTTGTACATGTGGATTTTTACACCTTGTGTTTCTACATGTGGGTTTTTATACTGGGTGTTTCTACATGTGGGTTTTTACACCAGGGGATTCTACATGTGGGTTTTTACACCAGGCATTTCTACATGCGGGTTTTTACATCAGGCATTTCTACATGTGGGTTTTTACACCAGGCATTTCTACATGTGGGTTTTTACACCAGGCATTTCTACATGTGGGTTTTTACACCAGGCAATTCTACATGTGGGTTTTTACATCTGGTGTTTCTACATGGAGGTTTTTACACTTGATGTTTCTACATGTGGGTCTTTACATTGGGTGTTTCTACATGTGGGTTTTTACACTGGGTGTTTCTCAGTACATGTGGGCTTACACCAGGTGTTTCTGTATGTGGGTTTTCTTCTGACAAATGTCAGTGTCTCATGTGGGATTTTCTGTTATTTAAACAGACACACAGACAGACAGACAGACAGACACAGACACACACACACACACACACACACACACACACACACACACACACACACACACACACACACACACACACACACACACACACACACACACAGACACACACACACAGACACACACACACACAGACACACACACACACACCCCAGACACACACACACACACACAGACACACACACACACACAGACACACACACACACACAGACACACACACACACACACACACACACACACACACACACACACACACACACACACACACACACACACACACACACACACACACACACACCAGACAGACCACACACACACACACACACACTCACACTCACATGTACGTACGTACGTGTGCCAGGAGCTGTGACTTAACACCTGCAGCCACAAATAGGTGAGTATACACATGAAAATGTGTGTGTGCATGCACACACACACACATGCAGGCAGGAGCTCACACATGACAATGTGCACACACAAACATATGAAAGAACAAAAACAAAAAACTGTCAAGTCATTCAGAATATGTAAAAGTGAATTTTAAATTGTTATTTTGCTTGGATGACCAAGACTGTGAAGGTTCTGTTGTGTATTGACAAAGTTTTGCTTCTGAAAGTTTGATAAATAACTAAGTGTTGTTTACCTTCTTGTGACCCCCTAGTGCCACTTCGTACTATGACAGAGAAGAGACCAGCACCTAAACCCCCAGCTGGTGTTTCCCACAACACTTCCTTCTACCTCCCTCACTACACCAGCCATTCCCGCACGCCTTCCGACCCCATGCTGGGGCCTTCGTCATACCACCCCAGCCTGGCTCACAACAACAACAACAATGGTGGTGGGGGTGGTAGCCTTGGAGGGATGGGCCACAAGAGGAGTCCATCAACTGATTCTAGTAATAGTGTGTTCTACCCTCAACCTTCTTCTTCTTCCAACAACACCACTACTTCTTCTGGGACTACACGCTTCTCTCTCTCACATAATTTGCCCCCTGAGGCTACATCAGGTGAGGGGATTGGCTGCCTCTTGCTTTCTTCTCATTTCCTTCTTGCTGCCTCTGCCTTCATCTATTGTAGCAGCTTGTAGTTTTATTCATGCATATATGCATACATGCACACTATATATACAGCCTCTCCTCACTTAATGGCGGAGTTCTGTTCCTAATACCATGTCGGTAAATGAATTTGTTGCTAAGTGAGGAGCATACTATAATGGTAGTGGGTTCGTGTCAACCGTCTTAGATATTGTTTTAATGTCACCTTTGCACCATTTATAACATTTCTAGTATATTTTTAAATGTTTATACAGTAGTGTACTGTATATTATAATAAACAGAATAGAATATTTAGGTATGCATATTTAGGTATGTATACTGGTCAGAGAGCCAATCGTAAATCTGAGTCATTGGTAAACTAGTACGTTGCTAAGTGAGGAGAGGCTGTACTGTGTGTGTGTGTGTATTTTATATAATATATATATATATAATATATATATATATATATATATATATATATATATATATATATATATATATATATATATATATATATATATATATATATATATATATATTTCTTTTCTTCAACACACCGGCCGTATCCCACTGAGGCAGGGTGGCCCAAAAGAAAAAAAACAAAGTTTCTCCTTTCAAATTTAGTAATATATACAGGAGAAGGGGTTACTAGCTCCTTGCTCCGGCATTTTAGTTGCCTCTTACAACACGCATGGCTTACGGAGGAAGATATATATATATATATATATATATATATATATATATATATATATATATATATATATATATATATATATATATATATATATAAATAATCACACCAGCCATCTCTCACCAAGGTAGGATGACCTAACAAAAAAAAAAAGAGGAAACACATTCACCATCTTTCATTCAATTGCTGTCTTGCCAGAAGCTTTCTGATATCACAGTTCAGATGACCCTCCAAACTACAACATCCTCACCTCTCCTTCAAAGTGCAGACACTGTAGCTCCCACCTCCATGACTCTTAGGTCCAGCTAACCTGTATTCCTGAATACCTTCATTAAGGTTTTTCCTGCCCACAATCCAAGAGCTTGGCATTATAAAATTTCACTTGTTTCCTCTAAGATCTGTCATACACAAGTCCATTGGATGTTAAAACCCTTAACACTTAAACCCTCCTTTACCCCTTCCTGAGATATTCTGTACCCCACCTTCCTTCCACCCCAGATTTATGCACCCTCTTGGTTATCCTAGTCTACTTCATTCTCCCTATATGCCCAAACTACCTCAGCAATCCCTCATCAGCCCCCTGAATTTCATTTTTGGTGACCCCCCCACATCTGATTTCCATGCTCTGAATTCTCTGCATCATAATCACACCACACATTGTCCTCACACATAACATCTCCACTGCCTCCAGCCCCCTCCTTGTTACAATGCTTAAAAACCATGCTTCATACCCATAAAGCAGTGCTGGTACCTTTATACTATGGTACATTATCTTTTTGTGTCTCCATGCATAAAGTTTATCGACTTGACAGATTCTTCAAAGTGCCACTCATCTTTTACCTCTCATCTATTTTGTGGTTCACTCTGTATTAAATAGATGATGCTTCTTCTTTCATCAAACCAGCCATATCCCACCGAGGCAGGGTGGCCCAAAAAGAAAAACGTTTCTCTTCTTAAATTTAGTAATGTATACAGTATAATGGGCTACTAACCCCTTGCTCCCGGCATTTTAGTTGCCTTTTACGACACGCATGGCTTACTGAAGAAGAATTCTATTCTGTTTCCCCATGGAGATTAAATAGATGCATCTACTGAAAAGTTCACTTCAAAATACAGTACAGTAGGGCCCCACTTATTCGGCAGGTTAGGTTCCAGGCTACTGCCAGAAAGCAGACTTTGCCGGAAAGCAGAACTCCATGCTTTCCATTTATAAATGCATATAAATGCCAGTTAACAAGTTTACACTAACATATATTAAGTTAGCAATAGAACTAGGCATTAAAAAGTAAAATACACACACAGTACACTCATTATTTACCTCAAAATATTTGTAGTCTTAATGTAGGGCAAAAGGTGAGTAGTATTTACTCGAAGAAGTCAGGTGTGGTAGCCCTCCTGGCCACCCCACCCACACATACTATACTACGATGCTTAGAGTTCCCTAGAGTGATAAAATGCATATACAGTAGATGCATTACTTACCTTAAAATATTTGTAGTCTTAATGGTCTTAATGTAGGATGAGAGGTGGAAGGTATTTATTTGTAGAAAGTCGTGTGGGAGGTATGGCATCCTGCCTGGCCACTTATACCTACTACGACATTAAGCTCCCTAGAGTGATAAAATGCATATATATAGTACACTCAATAATTACCATAAAGTATTTGTAGTCTTAATGTAGGGTGAGGTGAGTTTTATTTGTATGAAGTCAGGTTAGGCAGTATGGGTAGCCAGGAAGGGCAGCCCTCCCCACCCTACCCACACATAATGTAAACAAACCAGATGAATGCATCTGGTTTTCGTTACAAGCCCTACAAGTTGCCTGGCTACCACAAGCCCTACAAGTTGCCTGGATACCACAAGTCCTACAAGTTGCCTGGCTACCACAAGTTGCCTGGCTACCACAAGTTGCTTGGCTACCACAAGTCCTACAAGCCACCTGGCTACCACTTCTCACATTTATGTTAATTTATTCTACTGTTGGGTGTATTTAGATGGATTAAGCAAAATGTCTATATTAACGTTTTATACGATATTTAATGCTCCTTAGAGTGATTATTATTGTGTTATTATCATTAATATGGCATCTTCAAGACTAATAAGACACTCTTAGTGATTTTAATGTGTACCTGCATGCCAGCACAGTGTGTAAGTTTACTTAGGTACAGGTACACATACATATAATTTTCAGCTATAATAATAATAATGTAGGTATGTAGTCCACCCTAGGTAGTAGGTTGGTAGACAGCAACCGCCCAGGGAGGTACTACCGTCCTGCCAAGTGAGTGTAAAACGAAAGCCTGTAATTGTTTTACATGATGGTAGGATTGCTGGTGTCCTTTTTTCTGTCTCATAAACGTGCAAGATTTCAGGTACGTCTTGCTACTTCTACTTACACTTAGGTCACACTACACATACATGTACAAGCATATATATACACACACCCCTCTGGGTTTTCTGCTATTTTCTTTCTAGTTCTTGTTATTGTTTAATTCCTCTTACCTCCATGGGGAAGTGGGACAGAATTCTTCCTCCGTAAGCCATGCGTGTTGTAAGAGGCGACTAAAATGCCGGGAGCAAGGGGCTAGTAACCCCTTCTCCTATATAAATTACTAAATTTAAAAAAGAGAAACTTCTGTTTTTCTTTTTGGGCCACCCTGCCTCGGTGGGATACGGTCGGTTTGTTGAAAGATGATGATGATGTAGTCCACCTGGGCTACATACCTACACGATATTTAATGTGGCCCAGAGCCATATTATTACCATCGACATACCAAGTTCACCGAGTTTAATAGTTTCTAACAACTACCTTTAGATGTCATCATAAACAAAGAAAGAAGTAATGAATAATTCATGCTGAGAATTGTAAACAAAAGCATTATGTATTAAGGGGAGTGACGTAATATTTTCCCTCCGCCCGGCTACCACAGCTCCACAGTATATAAACAAAACGTTTATATGGTATGTAAGGTGTTTCTTATACAGTGGACCCTCGCCTAACGCTATTAATCCGTTCCTGAGAGCTCAACGTTAGGCGAAATTATCGTTAGACGAATTAATTTTCCCCATAAGAAATAATGGAAATCTAATTAATCCGTTCCTGACACCCCAAAGTATGAACAAAAAAAAATTTTTACCACATGAAATATTAATTTTAATACACACAAACTGAAGAAGACATGCACAGTTACATGACACTTACCTTTATTGAAGATCTGGTGATAATTGATGGGATGGGAGGAGGGGAGAGTATTGATGGTGTTAGTGTTTAGAAGGGGAATCCCCTTCCATTAGGACTTGAGGTGGCAAGTCCTTTTCCGGGGTTACTTTCCTTCTTCTTTTAATGCCACTAGGACCAGCGTGAGAGTCACTGGACCTCTGTCGCACAACATATCTGTCCTTAGAGGCCTGTACCTCCCGTTCCTTTATGACATTCCTAAAGTGTTTCACAACATTGTCAGTGTAATAGTCACCAGCACGGCTTGCAATAGCTGTGTGAGGGTGATTTTCATCAAAAAAGGTTTGCACTTTAAGCCACATTGCACACATTTACTTAATCTTTGAAGTAGGCAACTTCCTCAGTTTCTCTATCCCCTCTCCGAAGCAGTTTCCTCAGGTGTGGCCTCTTGCTGTTGAAGATGATCTAGCAGCTCATCAGTGGTTAGTTCTTCATTGTCCTCCTCCACCAACTCTTCCACATACTCCCCACTAACCTCCAACCCCAAGGACTTCCCCAATGCCACAATGGATTCCTCAACTGGCATAGGATTCCCAGGGTTAGCCTCAAACCCTTCAAAATCCCTTTTGTCTACACATTCTGGCCACAGTTTCTTCCAAGCAGAGTTCAAGGTCCTCTTAGTCACTTCCTCCCAAGCCTTACCTATAATGTTTACACAATTGAGGATGCTAAAGTGATCTCTCCAAAATTCTCTTAGAGTCAATTGAGTTTCTGAGGTCACTACAAAGCACCTTTCAAACATAGCTTTTGTGTACAGTTTCTTGAAGTTGGAAATGACCTGCTGGTCCATGGGCTGCAGGAGAGGAGTGGTATTAGGAGGCAAAAACTTGCCCTTTAAATGAAGCTCATTTCCGCAGAAAGTCGCTCTGCCACGTCTGAAGGATGACCAGGAGCATTGTCTAATACCAGGAGGCACTTAAGGTCTAATTTCCTT